TGGAGTTAATTTTGCTATGCTAAAATAGATATCTAATACAACACTTGAATCTATTACGATGGTTAAGAAATAAGAAACACAGATCTTTCTTGATATTATTGGCCATCCAACACATGCCAATTAAAACACTGAAATTCCATCTCGTAACAAACAATGAGGCTGAAGGAGAAAAAAATCCTTCTTCACTGGTGGTGGGAATGTAGACTTGTGCAACCACTGTGGAAATTAATGTGAACATTCTTCAAAAACTAGGATTACACTGACCATTTGACCTAGCTATTCCACTTCTGGATATTTTCTCAGAACAATTGAGAACATCATACCACAGTTATATATGTTCACCCACGCTTATAGCAGCACAGTTTGTAATAGCTAAATCTTGCAAATAATCTAACTGCCCACAAACCAAGAAATGAATGAAAAAGGTATGGCATTTTTATACAATGGATTACTATTCAGCTATAAAAAAGGATACTCTTAAGACATTTATAGGGAAATGGGTGCTACTTGAGACCATACTCACAAGTGAAATGAATCAGACTCATTTGTGTAAACATCATATTGTCTCCCTAGTATAAGAAACTGAAAAAGTAAATAAGTTCCAGAATGTACAATAGATATTGTGAAGTGGAAAGTAGCTGTTCTAAAAAAAAAGGACAAACTGGAATGGGGAAAGGAGAAAAAAAGGAAGGGGAAAGGAAATATATATATATATATATATATATATATATATATATATAAACAGCTAAGGTAAGTTGTACTACTAAACTGATAATAGTTCTTTAAAAGAAGTGTGGGTGCCTATATTGTTTGACCAATTTTTCATGTGTATAGCTAGTAATAAGAACAACTACTTTGAAAATAATAATATGCAATGTACTAACAATTGTTATTCTGCCACAATCCTATTTTGAAATTCTGTACCATTCTTCTCATTGTTTTTTCTTTAAAATAATAAAAAAAAACAGTATCATTATTTCATCTCAATATGAGCACCATACCTGAAGATGATCCTTTGATTGACATGTCAAGTATTATTGAGACAAAAATCTGTCCAGTTGGCCTTGTCTTCTTTTTCTGTCTTATGGATTGTTAACATCTTTGTTTAAAACTATTTAAAATTTGTCTAATGAAATCTAAGTATGGTCCTCCTCTCCTGATTATTAGCAGATCATACCGTGACCTCAAGGTTCTTTCCTAGTAATTCAGAGCCCTGACTGCAGTTAAACTCACCAAAAAACAAGTCCCACCTTGGTCCACACTACATACAGTTCCCAAAAAGGTGTGTTCAATTGATACAGTTTCAAATCTATATTAATGACTCTGATTTCATTAAATTAATTCTCATTCTAAGGAATACATGACTACTAATTCTAGATGCCAGTTATACTCTGCACACAGAAACAGTCTCATCTAATTTTCACAGAGATGAGTCTGGACACCATTCCACTCCTTAGACAGGTCTGACTGATTGCTTAAATGCAGCACATGGATTTCAGCACTGGCACAGTGAGTGCTTTAAAGATAAGACAGATCAGTTAGAAAACATCCAGCTTTGAGGAACACAGAACACAACAATAGTGGCTTAACTAGTTAGGGACTTGTGTTTTGGTTAGATAAAAGTCGAGATACAGGCAAACCTATGTGAGCTCAGCTTTTCATCTTTCCCAGAATTCTTCACGTGTGCCTTTACCTCAAGGTTGAAATATGGTTGCTAATTCATCACTCATCATTTATCCAGCTCCAGGGAGGAAACAGGGAAAAGGACAAAACTTTATACTTTTGATTATATTTTTCTTTTCTTCCTTTTACTTTATCTGAAAATGAAACACTCCCCAGGAATTTCATTGGCCATAACTAGATCCCGTGGCTATCCCTGACTACAGAGGGGACTGAGAAATCAAATACATAACTTTACAGTTTCCATAGTAAATGATGTCAAGAAAGAAATGAGTTGAATTGAGAGTGGAGTAATCTAAAACTTTAATAATTGTCATTGAAAGGAAAGTGTTGTATATGTATGCAACTGTGTGTGTGTATGCTTGCATATTATATTTGTTTTTAATTAAATGATTCCCTCAACAGTATTTTTCCCATTAAAGATGCACAGGGAAAAAATGTATTGGTTGAGTCCTGGATAAGTTTTCTTGGCAGTGCTTAATATCACCAACAGTGAAGGTAATAAATGTTATCCCTCTTTTCTATCATGAATATGAATGATGCTCTGAAGGCTGAATGCAACCTCAAAATTTACGTGAGAAATGAGGCATGCAACATTTTTGAAAATATATTAGACCAGTGTCTGTATCATTGCATATTTTATACTCTTTTCAATATGCTACAAAAGGTTTGAGCCATCAACGGAATGCTGCTCAAAAATAACAAACAAGAACAAGGATACAAAAATAAATGCAGAGTCAAGTTGCCCTAAGATGTTCTTTATGGTCAGTGAAGACTGTTTTGCTTCAAACTCTTTTTCCACATTTCTCCTTCAAACTGAGTCCTCCAGTAAGTTTATCCGAGGCCAAGTATTATGGTGTCACCTTGAGAAGTTAGAAGTTTCACTGTGAGACTCAGCTGGGAGCCAGAGTCTGTCCTTTGTAAACATCCTCAGTCTGTGAAAGAGGAGGGCTGGAGATTTTGTGACTGCTACCCTCCTCCTGATGAGGTGGTAACCTGACTTCAGTATAAGGAAGTAGGACTGGCTTGCTCACCACCCCACCCCACCCCTTGTTCTTGCTGTTTTGCTGTCTTCGGCCACCTCGAAGTTTCATGTCACTCTGTCTTTGGACCCAGCTGATTATGGACAGAAATCTCTGCAAACTGTGAGCTAAATAAAACTTTCCTTAATTTTAGATGTCAGGTATTTTGTCTCAGCAACAAGAGGAAAGTAACCAAGACAGAATTTGGTACCAGAGAAGCAGTGTCATCGCTGTGACTCTATTTAACCACGTGGTTCAAGAGATTTTGGGAATGGGAGTTTCTGGTCAGAACTCAGAAAACTAGAAGGCTGTTAGAAATCCTGCTGGTAAAGACCAGGCTCTGGAGGTTTCTGATGGGAAGGACTGCATTACACTGGATGCTGAACTCCAGATGATATATGTTAGGGCTTAGAAGAAAGTTTGTCTACATTTTGCTCATGCCCAGAGACTTTGCCTGAGGCTAAAATTAAGAGCAGTGGACTAATTGATACGGCAGGAGAAATTTCAAGAAAAATCAACTGTTGAGGCTGGGGCATGGCTGTTGTTAGGGGCTTTTAGACAGATTTATGCTGAGAATCAACAGCAAAGAACCCAGCAGGATGATTTAAAATGTTATGATTTTGACCAAAAGGGAAGTCTGCAAAGATAGAGCAGAGGAGACCTTGATTGCCAAGAAAGAATGGGAGAACATAAAAGATGGACTGACGGTGTCTCAAGAAGCAGCAAGTCTCTGCCCTTTAATTTTTGTGCAGCGAAGAAGAAACTACATGATACAGATGAATGGTTACCATTGCAAATGTACCATTTCTGAGACAGTTAAATACCCTACAAGCATTGACATTAAAGCAAAGATTTATCTTTCGCCATTTTCTTCTAAGGACTTTCTATGTTATTTTCTTCTAACAGATAATACTGGTTCATGACTAACAACCAAAAGAATAATTTCCCTTGGCACGAGGCATGTCTGGGAGGCCTTCCTGTAAATCAGCAATTTCCTGGTTATCAGATACTGTTTCATTTAGATACTGTATCTGAGCCCTCATCTGAATTTAGGAAAATGAAACTCCAGATAATGTGCCAGTTGTTATCAAAGTGTCATCCAGCAATTGCAGAGTGAAAGGAGGAGGAAAAGGAGACAAGAGAACAACAAATGAGTTTGTGTAAACATCAACTAAATGCCAGCATGATGCTAAATGCCATAAGGAATTATCTTGCTTCATTTTCTTGATGATCTTGAGCTAAATGCTTTTTTTCAGACCAGTTTTACAGAGTAATGCAAACTGAGCCAAAAAAAGAAAAAAAAGAAAAAGTAAATTTCCCAAAGTCACATAATGACCAAGAACCAACCAAAATACAAACCTACTTTGGCCTGATACTGAAACTCTCACACACAAGTGTCAGGGTGAATCCACCCAAAGAGGGTGCTAGGTCTTAGGGCATGATTCTGTCATTTCAGCAGCATGACAACAACCAGCAAAAAACTCTAGTTGATCAGAAGTTGTTGTCCACTGGCTAATTTATTGGAAAGCATCCTTCAGGCTCAGAAATCAGTCCGTATTCAAGAATTTGATCTCCTTTTCCTCACCAAATCAGCCCTTCACAATTCATATGCTATATATATATTCTCTGCCTGTTGATCAATCTACTATACCAACAAAGGTCAGTTCTACATTTTTAGTGAAACTATCTAAATGATTAAAGATGACTGTGTGGCAGTCAGAAAAATACCCAAAATCTATCCAGTGCCTCAGTTGGCCCTACAGAATGATATACTCCTTCATGTTACAGGATGAATAGCAACAATTTGGTTATGTTATTATTGTTGTTATAATTTATAGGAAGGCCCAAATTTAGATATCCTTAATTGCTTGAATTCTTGGGTTAATTAATTCAACCTTCAAAGACATATCAGGAATCATAGTAAATTTTTATACATGAACTATGAAGATAGGCACATAACCCACATTGCCAGATAGTTTGAAGCAGTTAGCATAAGGCTCATCAGCGAATATTCCAGTATATTAATTTAACAGTTTCAGAGTTACTTATCAAAAGGCCGTAGAGCATGATATTTTGCACAGTCAAAATGGTTTATCATCTTTAGTCATCATTCGATTTTTTTATTTATATTTAAATTTACAGAGACGTAAGCATATCAATTACAAACAGCCAACAATAAATACAAAATAGCTACAAGGCTGTATAAATATTGCACATTATACCTAGCATATTATGGAGCTCAGTAACAAGATGATTTTCACAAAACACCATGTAAATGGTGACAGTCACATTATTTACCTGATAGGAAGGTCCTTGAATTTTCTTTTCTTGAAGCGTATCTATGTTAGTATTCAAAAGAAAATCATCTTCATTTAGATCTATGAAAAGAGGTAAAAGTTACACACAGATTATCAATAATTACAAGACTTAAGCCTGGGAGTGTAACTTAGTGGTAATGTATTTTTCTACATTACCCTATATAGAAAAGGACAAAATAATGAAACGTTTTATGAAGAATAAGGGTAATTTAATATTCATCATATTTTATTTAGTCTGTTAAGCCATTCCATTAGCTTGATCATAAAATTTCTCTTCTTAAACGTATATTACTTTTAAAAGAAACAAACCAAAATAAAATAGCAGTTTACTAAAATAATCCATCATGGAACTGTGTTGTTAGGTGAACCAGAGAACCTCGCTGTGACTTTGTTTCTCTCTTAATAATAAAAAGACAGCTTCCTACCTGCCAAAGCTACTGGTAACTCAAAATTCTGTAATTCCATGCAGCTATCAGCTCATCTGTTGCTTTTAAGCTAAACTTCCCACCCGTGGCATTTAAGCTTCATTAGCTTGGGTCTTCTCTACGTGAATTATTTATGTCAAAATTATTCTGTGCATGCTTTAGTAAAAGCTTTGGAATTTGGTATGCATTTGCTTACAGCTGAAAGAAGCTTTTTAAAAAGTAACCAATACCCTTCAGCCTGTGGAAAGGGGCTTTGTTTATTTACATCTGTAATATACTGTGTGTTAATAGAGGACAATATGTTAGGGGTCTCTTCATCTTAGCCTTTTGTTTTACAGATAAGGACACAGAGACCTACAAAAATCACCTGGCACCAGGGTCCTGACATTTCCCTTCACCTTTCCTCTTTGTACCTGTAACCACTGCTTCAACTTTTCGCTATTTCTTTTTGTCATGTTCTCTGAAGGAAAAAGGACAGGCAAAGCCTATCCACCCTGCATAGCACAAAGACACAGAATTTTCTCCAAATTCCATTCATAGATAAAATACTGATAAATTCTTGCTCACTTTCAGACTTTTTTGCACTACAAAATTAATATTTCAGATCAAAAGAACTATGTTACAGGAGTCCAAACAGGACCTACATTTTAAAATGAGCTATTTTTCAATCTGGTTATTTGAAATAAGGTCTTCCATTACACAATCAAAATGCTAAGGGGTGAGTTTTTGAAACTTAATTCTGTAATTAAATAGAAAAAAATTCTCTGTTACTTTTTCCTGTCACTTCTCATCTTTTGTCTCATTAACATGAATTTTAAAGAATTCTTTCTAGAGCTTCCTTTTAGAGAATTTTTAGGTGTAGAAAAAAATTAAATTGGTTTCTGTGCTATATGATGTGGAATCTAGCTAAGAAAATATGATGTGACTCTGTACAATGTAGTCACATAAGAAAGTAGTAAAGTAGTGTCTCAGAAATAGTCCTGTGCAGTGAGAGCCTTACAACCAAGAGTCCTTATTGGGCCAGAATGGAATGAAGAATGTATCTGGCAAGGAAAGGTAAAAGCAAAGGAAAAGAGTACAAATCAGCAGCGACACTGTAAACGCGGTGCTACCGGGCAGCAAGAGTGAACCAGTGTTAAAGTGTAGATGTTAAGACTAATTGCGCCAAAAGGCAATTTTGGATATGCTAAAGGAGGAGATGTAGTTGTGTGCCCACTAATTGTGATATGACAACTTGACCAGAGTAACAAACACCTAGCTGATTAGTAAGGACACTTCAGGATGTCTAAGCATTTCTGTTTCCAGAAATGATTGCCACGTACGGTAACAAACAGGGAAAGACCCACGCTGGTTTGGGGTGTCACCATCTGATAGACTTGTAGCCTAGATGGAATGAAACAGACAGAAGGAAGACATCTGCCTGTGTATGAAAAGCTGCGTTTTTGCTACCATCATTGCCTGTCTGTGGATATCAGACTTCACCTTCTTCAGCCTTTCAACCCAGACTCACACTAGCAACCCTCCAAGGAGTTCTCGGGCCTTCCCTCTTAGACTGACACCTCATTCGTGATTCCTTTTGCTGTATGGCTCCCTCACCTGAGCAGCTATTGGGGGCTTTTTGGCCTCTGCTTCTGTAAGCTTACCTAATAAGTCCACATAAATATGGATTCTGTACCTCTATGAAATGTTAATCAATACAAATAACAATACCTTGACTGATTCTGAAGGAAAAGAATTGCAAGGAGAATTTCTCCAATTGCTACAGTAGATTTTGATTTTCTCTAGTTTGATGAGACTTAAAGTCATCGTAGACGTAATGTAGAGAACACTGATGATGTAAATGATCGAAATAAACAACATAGATCCATTTGATAGTCCTAATTTATTACTTATGAGGGGAAAGGAATTTATTGACTTTATACATTACATTTTTTAAATTTTAGGGATGATTAAGAAATATGATGTTGGCTGGTTGTTCCTAGCATCTCTGTACAAAATAATGAAAGAACAGATTTAGCTCAAAGATTCAATTTCCCAGCACCAGACATGTGTAAACAAACTAAAGGCTCTGAAATGTCTCGAAAAAGAATCTTCTCTCATATATCTTTAGGACTGAAGTCGCTGAAAGCCAAATGTGAGTTGTCACATGATTAATTAAATGAAAGTACACATTTAACCCTCTGCTTGGAAGGATATCTGCAGTTAAAGTGAGGCATTAATTGGAAAAGAACGGGGCCTATAAGTTGGAAAGGAGCTGTTTGAGAGAAACCTGATGAGCCTGGGAACACTGAACTTTTGAAAGCTGATGAGTTTGTTCCCTAAGAGAGATTCCCTACACTCAAGGACAGAGGCATCCCTGCCTCACCCCGTTGTGTTGGCCTCTCCAGATCTGCACGAGGAAGCTTATTTTGTGTTGCCTCTGGCAACAGTAATACCATTCTTGTGCATTTCCTAAGCAGGAACTAGCAGATGCTTCTCAGGATCCCACCTTCTCCCCTTACCACTGAGTGGTAAAATGATTACCACTCAGTCTATAACCAGGCTCCAATCTTAGCAGTCCCCTAGAGGTGAGGTACACCACATGATTAAGTTGACACAACACGATGCACAGTTGCAGGCTGGATTGGTAAGTGCAGCTCATTTTTAATGAGCCTTCATTACTTTGTGCAAGAACTTGGGTCTATTGCAAGAAATAAATGCTGAAATATAAATACCTACAAAAGTCAAGCAAATAACAAAATGAAGTGAGTTTGGTCAAGGAGACAATGGGTATATGAGAGTATGGTAGAGGACCAGCTCCCCAGCCAAAGGCTTTCAGCTCTCTCAGCTGAGATTCTGTTTCTCCTGGATTATCAGTTTCCTTCATTCTTTTTTTAACATAAAATATTATAAGTTTTGGTTTAAACTATTCTGATTTTTTAAAAACACTACGTGGCCACAATCACACTTTTCATCAGAATAACATCAGTTACAGAATGCACTGTAGCAGTCCCTGCTACAGAAAAATGGGAGATCTGTGAGGATTTGGGGTTAAAGATGAGATATCATGATAACCACATTTTATGAAAACTAACCTTTTGGTGTGTGTCTAATGCATATTTTGTTATTTGTGATCTCTCAAATATTACACTACAAAGTATTTGTTGTTTGTGATCTCTCAAATATTACTCTACAAAGATTACTGTGGTAAACAGAACTAATTGGTTGTAAGTAGCAACACTAACTAATTAGCAATGTGCAGATTATACTTTTCAAGGATGGCTACAGACAACCATATCTCCCATAGCATATGATCTTCTGCATTGTAACCCTGCCATTCCTTCAAGAAATGGAGCCTGCCTCCCCTCTCTTTGACGGTAGGCTAATCTTAGAGACTCACTTGTCCAGTGGGATTAAATGAAAGTGATGCTTTGAGATTTCCAAGACCAGGTCAGAAGTCTGGCCATTGCTGTCAGGATCTCTCAGGATGCTTACTTCCAAACATACCCTGTTGTGAAATGTGAAGCTACTAATAAAATTTTGTTTTATGACGCTAAACATATGGTTTGTTTGCAGCAACAGCTATTAAGAACATCTATGAACCACCTACTGGGTTGCAAATATATGTGTAAATATATGTGTATGTAAGATTATACTATCTAGTGGGAAGACGGAGAGTCAAACTGCCCATCCAATGCAGATACAGAACAAAGTAAAAGGGGGAGATGAAGTAAGAGCACAATCTTCATTTCTAATCAGCTTCTAAGTGATTCTAATAGAGATATTTCTGATCATATTAATGTTCAAACAGGCAACTTATAATTCTCATGGGAACTTCCCAAATGAATTGAAGAATCCCAAGATTCATTTGTACAAAGCACAGTAGTTCTGCATGTTCTTATTATTCAATTCAGAAAGTCTTCCTTGGAAGTTTAAAAGGTACCACACCAGCAGTCGTCTTTGCTCGGAGAGTTTATTCCCACATCATAGGTGACATACAGGTGCAAAACTGGACTTTCCTCTGGCATTCCTCATGCAGTCCAGTCTAGCCAGGGCTGAGTTTCTGGGTTTTTTGTAATTAAATGCATTGATCTGCGGGTACATACACAAGGTGAATGTTTGAACCCCAGCACTGAAAGAAAACGTAGTCTCTAAATATTAATCAGAATGACAAAGTTATAACTATATATTTGTCATATAGAAATGGGACTACTAGATATCAGTCCAACTCAGAAAAAGGATTAATGAGATTTTTAAAAAGTTAAACCAAATATTTATATATTTACTTGAAAGAGGCTGACCAAATAATATTGACTGGAATTTCAAGAAAGAATGAAAGTTTCAAGCTTATAACACTTGAAAGGTAAAACAAAAGGCCTTCAATACTTTTCTCTTTCTACCTCTTTTTTTTTTGGGGGGGGGTTCTTTAGATAATATCACCAAGATATTATCTAAAGAGGAATGATTTTTAAAGTAATGCTGAAGCAGAGTACTTGGAGTTAATATTACTTTTTAAACTAACCATGTTTCCTAACTTTATTTTATATTCTCTTTCTTTATTACAACATACCATATTTTCAAATGTGTTTTATGGAATAGCTTATGGTAGTTACATTGATTGAAAAAAAATCTCTAAATCCTCAAATATGTTTTGTTTCTACTTAATTATTTTTCAAATGTTCCTTTGCTTTTATTCTTTGTGCTCTTTGGTATAAAGTAAAACAACATTCCTGAATCTATCTTTATTTAACCATAACTTGATCTTGAATTAAATGATGTTATAGAGTAAGTTTTATCTTAGTTTTCTTCCATAAAAAAACAAAGTTGAAGATTTTAAAACTGACTTTAACTTACAAAACGAATACGATGAATCTTCTCCGTGTTTATATTGATGAAAGTTCAACAATTAACATAAATTACAGACTAATTTCCCTTGACACCAAGCTACGTGAATTTTTTTACATGTAAAGTCCTGTGCAATCAATTTACCCTACAGTTATTTTACAGATGTAGTCCCTTTTAAAAGCACAGTTGTAGTCTTAGATTAAAATTTTTCTCAGGAAAAAGAAATAGGCTAGATAACATAAGAATACTATGCTTCTGGCACTCAATGTATTCTGATTAACTTTGGCCTCACAAATAGTCATGTTGGTGAGCTACATAAATATCTTCCAGGTTTAAAACAGTAGACAGAAAACCTCAGCTAAATATAACCTATGAAAGTCTTTTTTGGTCTGGCCTCAATATTCTTCAGGGGTGAAGTGTTATTAATATAACGTGTACCATGCATACATACCATTTTGAAATTGAAATTGATGGAAATAATCCTTTTTTTTTTAATGTGAGTGGACTAGCTTGTAACAGAGTTTTTAGGAGTTCATTAATGTCACTCCCACGATTTCTCTCTATATTTTCTTCTGTTTCATTGTGGTTATTTTTACAATTTCTTCATCACTGACCAACAAAAATAAGGGGCCATGCATGATAGCAATAATGTACTTTCCCGTTTTCATCTCACTAAATTCCAGACCACTTACCTCAGGCACGGTAAACCACTCTTAAGTAATTATGCAATTAACAGCTAAAAAGTGGTGTTTAAAATGAGAAAGAAATATTATAGGTTGATATGTAGGGCACTAATTGCTTAGAGATACTCTGAGCCTTCCAAATGAAGCTACTACACCCATAAAATTTGAGTCCGTCCCTCCCCCACTGCATTTCTCCCTTCAATTTATAATGGCAGCGACAGCCTTGGTCTCAGGCCATCGACTCCTCCCAGCACAGCATTAATCCCTAGGTAATGTCCTGTGACTCAACTGCTACTGCTGAACGGTTGGCTGAACCTCTTGGCCACACACACACACACACACACACACACACACAGACACACACAGACACACACACACACACACACACACACACACACACGCACCACCATGAACACAATACATGGTCACTCAGGAGCCTGAGAAATACCAAAGCTGAGATATACTCTATAAAGGTTTTGTTCTTTTTTTTTTTTTTCCTATGAAAAAGAAAAGGTCATCAATCAGAAGGACCTCATCTAAGGCTGAGATTCTTCACTACTTTGTGACTGCATTTATAAGAGAATTGTCTTACTATTACTACTAAATTTAAAAAGCAAGCCATAACAAGCATAAATAACATTTCACAGAAGGGCAGTTTTAGAAAATAGGATACTTAAAGAAATTTATGATAAAAATTTCAAATAAAAGTATATAGTAATGTTAAAACTTCTTTATTTTATAGATTGGGATACAATAGTCTAAAGTATTAAAGGGATGGATGAATAGATGTTAAGTAGATGAATAGACAAAGTGAAGGAAAAATGGACAAATGTTTGACTGACTCAGGAAGTAGATGAATACACTGGCATCCATGTTGTAAAGAGAAAGTCTAATCAAGTGTAATGTTATGAATCCATTTGCTGTAATTAAAATATTTCAAATAATTCTGGTCTTTCATTTATTTATTATACAAAAAATTTTAAATATTTAAAAATTCAACTAAAGTTATTCTCAAAATGTTACCTAATCTTGAAAAAAATTAGAATATTTCAAAGGAAGGGCAACCAATTATTTCTATAAAGAATTGCCTTATAAATCTAAGTTTTTTAAAAATTAAAATGCAAAATACGAGAGAAAGTATTATCAAATTACTAAACTCCTTGTTTGGGGGAGTTTTGTTCCAGAACATTTTAAAAAGTATTTTAGTTAAATATCAGAAACTTGAATTATCAATAACTAACATCATTGATCATTTCTTATTCCAATAAACTCGGAGTTGGAAGGGAATACCATGCGATCAACTTTTCACATTGTCATCTTTGTGAATTCTTAAAATTTTCTTTTATTCATTAATTCCTGAAAATTAAGTGATTTAATTATGAAGTTATTTTTAATACTAATTTCTTTTATATCTGACTTTTAATTCATTCTTCCTGGGGTTTTTCAAATTATGAAATGGCATAATATTGCATTAATAAGAAAAATGATGTCTTTAAAATTACTATAGGAAACTTAAATGTAATAATTATTAAGTAAATTGTTACCTTTGGAAAGTTTTCTTCATGCTGTATTTTAGGGTATTTTAAAATTCTTTTGGATTACAGTGATTTTCAAATATTGTTTGTAATGTATTCTTTGCTTTTTTTGTTTCGACCAGAAAGTTAATGAAATTTAATTTCCTGTATAAATGTTGTATGTGTTTTTATGTATAAATACATTAATATATATTTATTAATTAGGGTATTAATAATTTAATAATGCATATCTTATTTTATTTAGTTTTTATTTAAGTCAACCAAAATGCCTGTTTATTTTAATGATGAAAAATGTAAATTTCCCTCACCTGCCCTTTAAACTACTTTGGAAAAATGCAAAATCAGCTGATTTAAATTTAGCAATTACCGTTTAGCTGACAGAGCCTTCTAATGTGGGAATGGTTCTTGGCCTTCTGGATTCCTGCCAAAATGTGTCATTCACAGTTTTTCTTTCTGAAGTTAGAGCAAAGGATTGGTTTGCAGAATTTACGGTAACATCTGTCTGGTAAGTGTAAAAAATCTGAAATCAAAACACTTCCACCACATGGCTGTTTTTCATAAGTGATGTGTTAAGGAACTCTGTGGCTCTTTCTGGGGAGTTCTACTCCCTAATGGATGACCCCCGGTGACCTGTGAGCTGTGCGTTTATTTTCATGAACTATGTGAGCATTCATACATATATGGTCAAATATTGTTACTCCAAATGCCTGATAATTTATGGTTATACTATTTTTGAAGTAGTTTCTTGAACTCATAACCACATTTATATATAAAGTATCTCTATTTTTCATATTCTCCATTATGTTAAGATAAGTAAATCTGCAGAAAGAATATTAAACTCTGATGGATTTCATGATACCATAAAATCTTTAGGTGAAAAGATCATGGTTTACTGAGCCTTGTCCTTACAAAGTAAGACTAACACAGAGAAATGAATTGTACCAAATGAAGACATGGTATCTCTTTTAATCTACTTAGCAAAAGTAGATCGTTCAATATGTACTATCATATACTGATAAAAACAAGTTTTAAGTAATATAACCAAAGCAATAAAATAGAAGAAAATCCAGCATGCTGTATTTTTTTTTAAAAATCACTATTTTTTTCTCATGGTTTGATTATGGGTAAGGCAAGTGATCATCAAGAAGTAAGTTTTCAAATGGCCACCCATAGTCTTGTTATGTGCAGATAGACAAGATTGAATCTTAACAGAAAATAATATTTTCTTTTACTTTCTTTTATTTAATGCTGTGAACTAATCAAATCATGGCTGATACTCAAAATAATATGTAGTACTCCACAGGATAGTGAATAATGAGATAGGACATCATTCTGATGGCTGTCACTGCTGGGAGCATTCCAGACCTGATAAAAGTGCAGATATCCTTGGAAGAGGCACCCACTGAGGATGATCACCATGGTCAGGTCGAGCTATTCAGACCCTACTGAGAAACTGGTTTGGAAATGAGGGAAATAGGGGTGAGCACCAGAGTCCAAGGCCCTGCATAGGAAAGGAAAGGAGAAAAGCAAACACGATTTTGGCACTGCATAAATCAACTAATTTTTGATTGGATAAGCAAGAAGTTTTGCCATTGTGAGTGAATATTTTATAATGACCACCTCCCTATATCTGGTAAAGGAAGAAGACAGTGCTTTAACTTTCTGAAAGTCATCGTTAGACTTATACTTTTACTTTAGAATTAAAATACAGTTCAATCAATTGTCCTCATTATTACGATGGGTGTTATAATGACAGAAACTAAAGAGAAGATCTGGTGTGTAAAATGCTGTGGAAGAATCTTTTGTAATAAAGCTGTTTTCTGCTTCTTTTTAATTTACTTCTAAATTCATACATCTGAAAAAAATCTCTAACAGGTCACCTTGACCATGCACCAGCCAAGCTAAATGTGGAGAGCTGGAAGATGGTCACCCAATAAATCACCAAAGAAAATTATTCTTTTTAAATATAAAAGAAAATTATCCCAAATAAATCAATGATTTTTTATCTTAGTCATTTGAAGTTAGAATGAAACCACATTTCTTTTTTGAATTTCTTCTATAGATTTTAGAGAGAATTCAATCTGACTCTCATTAATCACTTATTGTTACTTTATGGCAGTAACTGAAGAAAGGAACTTTGAGGGAAACAGAATACATAATTTGCTCAAGTAATCTTATGAATCACTAACCAAATATTTTATTTTCAGATGTAAATCTCCGGAATGACCTAAAAGAATAAAAAAACACACAGTTAAATCCAGATTTAATAAATGACATTTTAATCAAACAAACTGAAATTAGTGTGTGTGCCATGCTAGAATGCGTGCCATTCTCTGAAAGTAGAACTGAATTCAGTTGGTAACTATGCACTACTTATAATCTTGATCTTGTCTGACCCTCTATGGCAAATTATGTAATCTTGACCTAGAAATTTTCATGCAATATAGAGACACTAATGCTCATAAAACCTAAAAAAGAAAAGATTGAGCCATTTCTACACTAGGTAGCCAAGGAAGAGTCTGTTCAAAATATAGTCTTCTTTTAGTATCTGCAGGGATTGTTTCCAGCACAATTTGCCTCACTGCATGTCTGGAGATACTAATCTGTATATGCTCAGGTCTCTTATATAAAATAGAATGTGTATAAGAATGTGTTACACACAGCCCCTGTAAATCTTAAATCATTTCCTGATTACTTAAATACAGCATGTTATTTAAATGGAAACCATGCCAAGAAGAAAGTCAGTACAAGTATCACAGACATAAAGTTTTTTGAATATTTTCAACCTGCAGTTGATTGAATCCACAGATGCAGAATTTGTAGATTCAGGCCAACAGTAATTCTGTTTAACAAATCTATAATAAGTGATACACATTGATAGACTCACTGTGCAAGCCTTAATAAAACAATACATACAGAAAATCACTACTAAAGATTTCAGCTAAAAGGCTAATGGAAAACTTTTTGATACACGGATTCTTGATATTATTTGAACTGACTGAGAAGTATTACTATCATGAAAATACAGTTTACCAGAAAGTACATAGTAACTGAGGATCTTCTTCTAAATACATATATATATATATATATAATAAATATCAATGTTTCATCACATCACACCTCAAGATTTAATTGGAAACTAAAAGTTTACAAGAAGCAAAGAGTACAGAAAGCTTAATTTTAAAAAAACATAACAAGGATCCTAGCAAAATGTACATACCTGTAATCCAAGCCCTCTGAGAGACTGAAGAAGAAAGAGTAAATTCAACCCCAACCCAAGCAAGTTAGCAATTTAGCGAGACTCCACATCAAACTAAAAACATTAAAAAGACTGAGGATATAACTCAATGCAAAGGCTCTGAATTGGTCCATCTCCAATGACTGAATGGGGAAAATTCAAAAATTCAGGCATTTTCTCAGGGTATGCAATTCTGTTTCATCAACAAATAAATGCATATTTAAATTAAAAGACAACATTGTGGGCTGGAGATTTAGCTCAGCAGCTTAAGCACCTGCCTTGCAAGCCTGGGATTCTGAGTTCAATCCCCAGTACAAAAAAAAAAAAAAAGACAACATTGTATTGAGCTTGTTTGAATCCTGTCTCAAACCATTTCTGTAATGTACTTGAGAGTATCAGATAAATCTTAACATTGGCTGTATTTTTAGTGATATTATGTTATTCTCATTTCATTCTAGAAAAGTGCTATGTTTTGCATATGCTTTTTAAAAATGTTATTTTATAACTATATATATATTATATATATATATATAAGCATGAAGTTATATTTCTGAGGCCTGCTTTATTAAAAAAGTAAGTAGGCATGTGGTAGGGTTAATAAAATAAATAGAGGTGAAATAAGGTAGGTAGGAGGTTGGTACTTGTTCAAACGACAGTGTGATTGCATCATGAGCTCTTCCTCTGCTTCTGACTGAAAGCTTCTATAATAAAATGCTTTGCAACAGGAAGAAAGTATGGTACCATGCTGAGGCTGACTTGGCCATGTTAATCAATCCAGGCATATATCCTGCACACATAACTTTCTTATAGCGTAAGTATTTTCTACTATTGATATCCTGTAGCCATTAAATTAAAGCCAAATTCACCCTTTTGTTAAACTCAGAGCTGTAAGCAAAAAACTATACATATCAATTTATTTTTGTAACTGCTTGAGGAGAGGTTGTTTTAAAATTTGTAACATACAATGCCTAGAACATCTGTTGACCTGCGGCAAATGTTTCCAGAAAAATCTATTTATACTATTACAAAGTGAAATAAGTAGACAACATGAAATGTTACTCATTTTAAGAAACAGACATTTGAGGTCCATGAAAGAATCTTCAATGTTCTTTTAATAGGTTAGAATCTGAAGAATATTTTGATCAATACAGTTGATACTAAAAAGAAAGTTGTAGTTCGTCATATCAGAACCAGGCACTTTTACTTTAATATATCTTTTTCTGTACCTCCAGCTTTTGGTATTCTTTAATCAGTGGACACGTCTACCATGATCCAAAAGCTACAATTTCATTTAAGTATTTGACCTAGAATGAGCAAATTTCCTATCTGTGGATAAAATGAGTCGCTATGTATGTGGGGCAATAAGACTGAGTAGATCCTGCCAAGATCATTTTTTACCCCAGTTCATGCCTAACATGCCAGGGTTGTAGTGTAAGTATTTAGATGTGACTGAAATACAACTACCTCTGTCTGGCAGGCACTCCAATCTGTTAAACATCAGGTTGTCTACTTACTATGGATCTATTTTATATCCTTAATGGGAAAGGGTAGCTCTGGGTAGGAAAAGGAACAACAAATACAGAACACAGAGTGTGTGAGCCAGGAGAGGTGAAGGGCTATAAAGAAAGAAACCACTCAGAGAAAACTCCACACCATTTAAAATTTTATCTCTAACCAACCTCAGCAGCAAGAAAGCCATTTTCCTGTGTCATCAGCAAACAGACTGGAAATTTCCCCATGTACCAACCTCCTGTCCTTGTGTAATTTTTGCTTATTAGTTAAAATCCTGTTGCCTTATGTAACATGTGTATGTCACATCCTCTGGCAGCTCAATATACTGAGTGTAAAGCCAGGCCTGACCTAAATAACCCAAACCGTTTTGCAAACACATTTTTATTTGGATTAGAAGAATTCTTCAGATGATTAATAGGTCACTGATAGAAATGTGTTTTCAAGTAGGCTCCCACTTTAATCTGAGCCTGGTTTAAGTACATTTCTTTTTTTGAAAATTTAATTTTCACATCCCTCTCTACAGGAATTTCACAACACAGAATTCCTGTGCATCAGCATAAATGGAGCAGTGACATACCTTAGATTTCTATATGACAGTGAAGGACAAGAAATTTGTCAGGAAATCTATTAAAATACCTACATTCACCATGATACAACTAAGAGAAGATCAAGTTCATGAAGTAAATTTGACTTACTTTTTCTTTCTTGGTTTTCCATTCACAAAATGAGAAACTTCCTGTAAAATAAAATAAAACCATTCCAAGAAATCAGAGAGCATTGAAGTATCATTTATTCATGAGTACAATTATTTTTTGCCACATGTCATTGAATCCAACTTATATTTTTGTTCATTTTGCTTTTCCTCCTTTTACATTACTGTGACTTTGAAAAATGTAGGCAATAGTACTTTCTTTATTAACTAGATTTTATGCTTTATGCTAAGCCCTGGTCAATTTAAACAGAAAAAAAAATGTGTTTTAAATAAAAATAGGCAATTAAACTCTCACAATTTCAACCCAACAAAATCAATCAGAGAGACGCATGTGGACAATGTTAATAATATTACACAGTACCTTCTTTTCTCCCTTGTAGTTCAAGGGATCAAATCAGGTGTTTGTACATACTGAGCAAGAACTCTACCAGTCTGCTGAGCTACCGAGCTATTTTTATCCCAGCCCAATACGTTCATTTGAGAAAGACGGAAAATAGTCTATCACAATATCATAGGGATATAGAAATGCATCTTGATTTATTTGACCTTCTTGTTCAGAGCAACTGAGTTGTGTATAAAATGGCTTATGGTTTTGGTGTAGAATGTGTTGTCACAGTTTTTACCATCCTTAATGGGGCTTTAGGAATCTCTCAGATTTTCTACTGCTCATCATTTCCTTTGTTGAAGAAAACAATGAGCCAAACATCTACTATCATATATATTACTACATGTGATAGGCAACAAATATTGTTCTAGAAAGTTCATTTTCTTTTGACATGGTTGAAATTCTTATATGAAAGAAAACTGGGACTATCTTCAACTAACATTGCATCTTCTACTAACATTGCATCTGTAGGGGTAAAAACACACATGTAGAGGCTAGGAGGAATGGTGAATGAAATTCAGAAAAAAGAAAGTTGGTTCTATGTGTATTACTCAAGTGTTTAACAGTACACTCTGTTTGCAGTCCAATCCAAGACAGCATTTCCCTACATAATGACCTACATAGGGACTAAACCAATACTCTAACCTTTATAGTGTTTATATCAAGGTTTGATTGTCCCAGGACATTTGAATTTTTGTTTTCCTACATTTCCTACATTTTGGACATTTATTAAAACCATGTATGCTGAGGAAAAAGTCTTAAGTTTCAAATGCCACCCACAGGAAGATGCATCTGTGGGATGCAGTACATGCAGGAGTCACAAAACAAGCCTTGTAGTGAGTGGGACATTGAGGAATTCATGTTCACATTGAACACTACTTCCATTCTCTAAGCAATTCTCTAATCATGAATCCTAAATGTAGTGAAAAATCTCTTAAAGATCTTCTATTAAATTCTTTTTGAATTGGTGCGGGTATCCCCAGCCCTCAGCCTAGCAGCTAATTGTGTGCGAGTTTAACCAGCTTTGCAATGGTCATCAGAAAGTGAGCACGGTAGTCCCTCTTTGTAATAATGTTTTCCTGTCACACATTTGGAATTTACTCAGAAGGATCAAGTCTCAGGCTCGCACCGTCTACACAGTCACAGACAAACTTGCCTTATTTGTTAGAATTCATTATCTTAAATTTCCTTAATTTGTCACATGGATTCAGGTACTGAGATCAGAAATTCTACACTCTTCGAAGTGAATTCTATCTTTAGTGAAAATAGAGAGACAGGTGGATCTAGTCTAGAGTTAGCTAATACAAAAATTAGATTCACATTAAGAAAAATGGGAAATTGTAGATGCCTACTATATTTTTAATCATTTGAATCAGGGCACTTTTGAATCTACTTATCTATTGGTCATATCGATATTTCATTGACTTTGCTATTAAGCAGCTTAATACCGGGCAGTTCACAAAACTCATTCAACTGAGTCTGGCGTGTTAGAATTGAAGAAGGAATTGTCTTGTGCTTCAGCTGGGAAAAACCTTCATTAGATTAGTTCTTAGAGTCAGATGCTGGACGTACTAAGCAGGGTTAAATATTAGTGACTGCTGATTGTAGTGAAAGGAACATAATCAGCTTCTGGATTGAGTTTTGAGAACATGTGGGTCAACACTGAAGTAATTTTTAAAGATGATGGCTGAGGTTTTAGGACATTATTGTCACAGCCTCCAGAGAGTATCCAGTTGTTTCAATTTTTCTATGGAATGGGGACATTCATTTTTTCTGCTTGTAGCAAATCAGATCAGATTTGGTTATCTTTGTTTGAAGAATTTTCTTGTAATGAATACTCTGGAAAAAAAAAACCTGAATTTAAACTTCTTTGGAATTTCCATTAAGGCAAAAGCATTAAAGCACTTCTTAGGCACACTGTTTCCTGCAGGGTAGGGAGAGTCAAGCACATTAAATGCAGGTCTGGAGTGATTCTATGAGGAAAAGGGACTGCTTAAATAAGGCAACATCTACTTAATTAGAATAATAGGTCTGTTCCCAGGGTGTTTCCTAGTTGTTCTCATGGAATGTTTAGTACTGCTTGTGCTAGACTCCAAAAAGCTGTAGAAAATGTAAACTGCTCTCCCTTCTGAATTGTGCTTACATAAGCACACAGTCACGTATTTTGCAGTTCAGATCTTGGATTCTTTATTCCTGCAGGGCCAACCCAAAGAAAGAATACATACAGTTTTATTTTTAGAACTGCAGCTGTGTATGCAAGTGTATGTGTGTGTGTGTGTGTGTGTGTGTGTGTTTGTGTCTGTCTGTCTGTCTGTCTGTTTGTCTGTGTCCATGGTTGTGTATCTGTAGGCATGTTATGCTCTGAATTCCAAAAGGAAGATTTCATTTCAGAAAGTCAGTAAAATTATTCGGTATAGCCCACAGATTTGACACTTAACATAAATACCAGGTAAAATCTATTCCTGTTAGCTTTCATTACATTATGCCCCTAAATCAAGCATTAATCATTGATTTTACTTTTCATTTGCCTGGGAATTTGTGACTCAATTTAATTTTTAGATTTGAAAATTGTTAGGAAAATAAAAAATAAACCTTAGACAAACTATTACACTGGGTCAGTAGAAATTAAGGAATATGCCCAATGTGTGTGTGTGTGTGTGTGTTTTAATAAAATGAATGAGGGTAAGCTCCAGTAGAAAAGCATTTCCATGTAACTTTGAAAATAGGTCAAATTTAAAAATATATATAGAATAAAAAAGAAAAGATGCCTTTTTAAAGAAGAAATACATTTTAAATTTCAAATGCTATATTTCTATTCTCATGTGGTCATTACAAATTAATGTCCTTTGGGTCTGAGTCTAACATGTGCTTGTTTCTTGCATTATTGCTTTATAAATCTTACTTTAAAATTACAAAGTCAAAGAAAAAATGAAGATAGTATCAAGAAAGGTGCAGTTTAATGGAAATGCAAAGTGTTTCTGCACAAGAGAAAAACAATTGACTGCAATTGATGCTGTAAATTTCATGGTGAACTTCTATGACTGTAAAACTGATGTGATCTGTCCTTTGACTTGCAAATGAGTAAACTGAGGCTCAAAATTGTAAACTGACTTGTCCAGGGTCAAGTACATGTTGCCTTATCTTGATTAAATGCTAGTTGCTTTTTTATTTGAATATATTTCTTTGGAACTATGTATTACTCATTTCTACACTTAATAAATCCTTATTGAGCATCTAACTATACAACGAACACTGTTGTGAGAAATTTTTTTTTTCATGAAAGGTTCATAGTTGACATACCGTTAACCAAAAATAGATCAGTAAGAGATAAGTATTCGTATTTTTTAATAAAAATTTTGTGTGGCATGGAAGCTTAGAAAGGAAGACCCGAAGGCCTAGACAAATCTGTGTATTTTTATGGCCAGATGTAAGGAAGTATAACTGGAGAGCAAAGGATCTGATATGGTAGTTGTAAGCTTGTGGGAGCTTAGGGTTTGAACCTGTCTGTTCAGATCTCTCCTGGCTCATCTCTGGGACCTTTAGTCTCTCCAGATCCTGTGAGGGTTTTCAAGGGAGTGGGGAGACAGAAGTACAGAGAGCAGCTTTCCTAGGTTTTATGACCTGTGTCGAGGAGAAAGGGATGAGCGAAATTTTAATTCCCACGGCCTTTGTCAGGCCAAACAGCACAAGTGTAATTCCAGTTTCCGGGGCACACTTCAGGAAAGACAGGGTTTTTCCAACCGAAGAAGGTCAGAGAACTTCCTTCTTTCACACATTCCTTCTTAATTTTCTCCAGTTTCAAAACTTGACATCCAAGGTACTATGTTTTGATAAGTGATTGCCCTACCCATCACTGTTTTGGATAAAAATAAAAAAGAATATCGAATACACTTTTTCTCAGTTATCTACTGTCAATGACTGCTGATGTAATAATCCTTTCAGATTCCACTTTAACTTGAATATTAAATGAGCACTTATAAAATCTTTGGTGATGACAAATATATTTAAAAAATATTAATGAATGGTATTATTTCTCATTAGATGAATTTTTTCACTGCACTTACATAGAAGTTTGAAGCTAGGCAAAGTTAGACATAAACACAAACACCCCCATATACATATAGGTAAATTATTCATATTTTGTTCAATTTATTCCCTTATAATAACTAAAATTACATAACTTGCATAACTAAAGTAGTTTTACTATTAAAATACAGTAATTCTGAGAATACTGCAGTCAAGCTGAGTTTCTGTACATTTCTTTACTAGTCTCGCTTCAAGAAAATGTTCCTGGCTGGGGATTTAACTCAGTGACATAAGCACCTGCCTTGTAGGCGCATGGTCGTGAGTTTGATCCTTGGTACCAAAAAAAAGAAAGAAAGAAAAAGAAAAAAAAAGAAAAGAAAAGAAAAGGAAATGTTCCTACAGATGTCAAGAAACACCTAAGTGTTAATAGAAATTTGTTTATTCATTCATTCACTCATGTATTTATCTTAGGACTGGAGATCAAACGCAGAGCCTTGCAAATGCAAAGAAGTACTCTACACTTGAGCTACAATTCTCAGCCCATTTTCAAAAATTCTTTTGCACATCTTGTAAAGATGCTGATTGTAGGCTTTGCAGCGCACTTAAAGCTGCT